ACGGGCTTGATTCAAGTCCAACAAACATTGTCATGATTAATTCTAGTCACCATATTTATTTCACTGACCCCTCCAGACTATTGCGATTTACTTACTGTTGGCTGGTTATTAATTCATTATATATAATTATTATATATATTGTTATAATAAAGTTTGAATCCACAATAACGAACAATATCAATTTTAATACGGATATTAGTTTGACACTTTCACGTGTCCTCTTCCGACTGACGTTTGTTTGTAATTAAGCAAAAAGCTACACAATGAGCCATGTGTGCTCTGCCCACCACTGGTATCGAAACCCGGATTCTAGCGTTGTAAGTCCGCAGACATACCGCTGTGTCGCTGGGGGGAGTTTCTTTGTGAGAGAAACACATACACTGCTTATTTATAACGAAAGTTCGAAGTCCCTTAACGGCACATGACGTCAGAGATGAATCTTGTATCTAAAATTCTTCCCGTTTCGCCAACATAAAGTTTTTCGCAGACTTGGTAGGTGACTATATAAAACCCTGTTTTTTTTTAATCATAAGTTGCATGCATTTTCGAGGATAAGAAATTGTTAATGATGTTGAGATATTTATAAACAACGTGGAATTGTTATTTTACAGACATTTCTCTAAAGCCATAATATTAAAATTGTAGTTGCCATTAAGCATTTTATTTTTTCACATTTAGATGGCGCTGGTTGCTGGTTAATGTTTCTAACGAATATCTTCCTTATCTTGTGATGGGCATGTTTAATAAAACTTATATGATACTGTAGATAGAATGAACAGGCTCTGTTTCTGTTTTTCTGTTCTAGTTATGAGGCTGTCGAAAAATGGGAGCGAATTATTGGTTTCCGATTCAACTTTAAACTTGATATTTATTGCGAAGATTGTTAATCTTCTGGAAAAACAAAAGTTACTTCTATTATTTGACTAAACAGAAACAGAAAATTACCCGAGATCCTTGCTCCACATCAGTCAGTGCAAAGTAGGCTTAAGCCAGATTAAGCCTACTTTGTACTGTCTCGTTCCTGCATTTCCTCCCTTATAGAGGGTATTCTACTTAACACATGTAGAAGTAATCTGTTACAACCTGCTGTACATTATAGATAGTATTTTACTGAAGAAAATATGATGTTTTAACACTATCAACCCACTCCATACCTTGAAGTAAATATAAAACGTAAAAGTTGACTATCTAAGCCTAAAATTATTGATGAGGTCCAGATACCACTGGATTTTTATACAGATGTTTCTTCTAAACTATTTATTCACCAAATTGTTTTTGAGTCAACGAGTCTGTTGTTTACAGGATACCTGATAACATACGAATCAATCTAGGGAATTACAAAGAAGATTACCATCGCTATTGCAATTAATTCCAATAATTAATATTGGAGTTTCCAGTGTATTTTGCATAGAAAATAAATGATTTTCCTCAAATGTGTTTCAGTCAGTTCTTTACAATAGGTGTTGAAACAGGCAGAAAGCACGGAAGTATTCGATGTGTTGCAGAACATTGGTTCCACCGATAGTGAAAAATACAAGAGGATTTACGTTAAATAGCACAGGTTAATTATCACGTACCATATGTTTCATATACTCGGCTGTACGAGCAGCTTTGAGATTTGGTATACATGAGCGCGTTGTTGTCTGACATACACACAGCTCTTCGAAAACAAAAGCGTTGCATAAAAGGGTTAGACAAATAAAACTGAGGTGAAAACTACTTTGTGGGAAAGGTTTACTGCACTTCCGGATTCGAGGGATGGGAGAAGCTACCGAAAATATTTTTTTTTTGTACTTTTAATTGAAATTGATTTAAGGTTTCAAAATGGATATAAGAAATGCATGCTTCAAAAATATTTGCACCACCTGCTATTATACGCATGCCCATACACTTAGGTAGAAGTACTACTTGTAAATTCATCTATATTAGTATTGTATTTTCAGTTACACGTGTCTTATCTGAATGAATTTTATTCGTGCAATAAATAAATAAAAACCAATTACAATTCTTCCTGTTATTTATTCATAAAAATACTTGATAGTATCATACTTTGTTTAGATAAAATCAGGATCGTCTCACAATAATACCAAATATGCATGCATCAAACTATAGAATACTGTACAAAAAAAACCATACACACAATAATTGATATATACACACACAAAAAAAACACACAATAATTGATATATAATTCATAACTACTTAGATAAACAGAACTGTTAAAAGGAATAACTGAGATATATAATTCATAACTACTTAGATAAACAGAACTGTTAAAAGGAATAACTGAAATATATATAATTCATAACTACTTAGATAAACAGAACTGTTAAAAGGAATAACTGAGATATATATCATAACTACTTAGATAAACAGAACTGTTAAAAGGAATAACTGAGATACATATCACAACCACTTAGATAAACAGAACTGTTAAAAGGAATAACTGAGATATATAATTCATAACTACTTAGATAAAGAAAGTTAGAACATAGTACAAATTATATGTAAAATGTTTTTTCATGATGGAATATATTTTTATTTCTTTAAATGTAATTTCTTCTAAATACTCATAAATTATAGTTTAAACATGTATTATTTTGTACAATAAACACATCACTGGTTACACAAACCACTGATTTTTTCAGTATCTATAATAAGTCTGCCTTTTCTTGGTTTCAATGTATAACATCTTTTTTCTGAATTTTTGAGTAAAGTTACACAAAGAGCTATATGCGAACATATAGATGTCCTTAACTTTACTCCCCAGCGGCTCAGTGGTAAGTCCGAAGGCTTATAACGCTAATAATTGGGTTTCGACACCCGTGGTGGTTACAGCACATCTAACTTATTGTGTAGCTTTGTGCTTTACAGAAAACAAACAAACTTTAATTCTGTGGTGATAGATAGCTAGTTAACAACACTCACCGCAAGCTCGTGGGCTACTATTGTCTGACCAAATATTGGTACTGATCGTCACTCTTATAACGCATCCACGCTCCCAAAGTGCGGAGCAGTTTATATGGCAACGGCATGCGAACACTGAGCCCTCGGATTCCCAGTTCGGGCATGCTAATCACTAAACCACGCCTAGCCCTTATTTATGTGAAAACTAATGTAAATCTATAATAAAAATTATATTATTAATTCAGAAAAATCCTTCTATAATGCAGTTTGTGTAAAGCCAGTTTGAACTCCAATCAACAAATTAACAATTATGATGACAAATCAAAAACTTTATACTCAAATTAAAAAAACCGTACATCATTAAATAATTTCAAAATTTTACAAAATTTTATTACGTTGATATTACAAAGTGAACTGAGACACGAGTAATCAATTCATCCTATCCAGAAAACGTGAAAACTGTGTATATTTGCTTTCAAATCCTAACTGAGCGAGAACAATGCACGTTATAAAGTTAGGTCACATATAATATCTGCATTAAAATTGTACTTATTCATTAGAAATCTATACAAGATTCTGACTACTAAAGTTTCCGAGGTATCGATCCATAAATATATATATATATATCGAATCTATACTTTTAACTGTAGTTAATCTCCCATTAACTACAAATACATTTTATTAATTTACCTAATTTTAAAGGGCCAGACGCTTGTTTGTTTGTTTGTAATTAAGCACAAAGCTACATAGTGGGCTATCTGTGCTCTGCCCACCCCACGGGTATCGAAACCCGGATTCTAGCGTTGTAAGTCCGCAGACATACCGCTCTGCCACTGAAGGGGGGGGGGGCAGACGCGGCCTGATGGTTATCGTACCGGGCTGTAGATCTCAAAATACATGGTTCCAAACAATATACGTCACTGAACATACTCACTACGTGTTGGCGTTATAGTCACGACAGTCAATTTCGCTATTTGGTTAAGAGTATTCGTATAGGGGACGGATGTTGCTGGTTGGTTGCCCTTCCAATGGTCAGCAGTTCTAAATTAGGAATGGCTACACCTGGACTTAGGTCTATGTTCTTCCATTTGGCTTACGTGTCGCATAAAGTGCCGTTGAGGTTGAATATGTCCATTTTTATGAGATATTTCCATTTAAAAAAAATATATACCCGTACATAAAACTATGAACTAATTAATAACAATTTAGTTGTACCGATCATTAGAATTTATGAACTTATAACAATTTAATATAAAACATTTTAAAATAGTTAGGTGTCTCTCCTCATCAAATAACTAATTAAAATTTTCTGAATTCCTTGGCACTTTTTTATTTTGTTTAAGAAATTTAAAAATGCCTTTCTTATGACAATGAGGGCAGTATTTATACAGTCAACATTACAGTTTGTTATGTGAAACATATTTGTTTATATTTGATAATGAATCCCATGCGATGCCGGATTGGTAACTGTAGCTTCGAGCACTGTCAGCTCTCGTTGGCTCAACTATGTAAATAATAAAGAAATGTTATCTAAAGTTCTTTACCTAACTTAGCCAGAGAATGGGATTCGTTATCAAATATGAGTACATTTCATATGACGATATACATAATCACAATGAAGAGTTATTCAACTGTTAAACCTAGCTGTAAAGTTAGCCTAAGAAATGTACTTCTATTGGGAAAAATAGAATGTGTGTATATCTACTCTCAGTATTACAGTCAAATGTAAATAACTTTTAGATATATGATAAACAAAATATATCATCAAAGATACAGTTAATACTTCACGCTAATAATATACCAAAAAAATATCATGACGCCCTATTCAAACCTACTATGAAAATCTTTTATTTTTTCCTTTCCTGTTACTTTGTTGTTTTTAAGAATTTTAAAGAAAGGAACATTTGCTCTATATTATTCCTTAAAGGATGACTCAGTTACAAAAATGAATAAAGCTGCTTTTTTCCAGCTGCTAAAAATTAACCAAACTGGTGTTACACACTAGCACCCTCTTGTGCTGAAAGCAGCTGTATTGACTCTATCTGTCTGTCTGTCTCTCTCACACACAGACAAAACACAAATATCTCTAAACATTTTCAAATTCTTCCATGGAAATATGAAAAAATAGAATTTCATGGTTTTAGAATTATAGGTTAAAATGTGTAACTTTAACACGATTCAAAGGTATTCATCTAAGCCAAAAATTAATAAATAACTACGAGACAGAAGTACTGAATGTTGAATTAGGTCAGTGTGGACAAAGTGCAATTAATGGGCAATCCCTCTCAGCTGCATAACTGCAATAATATTAAAAAAAGCCGCCACCTGCAGCGGCTCCGCGGACTTATAACATGATACTTTCTCGAAATCAGAAGTTTAAACTTAGCTTGAAACTCTCAAAAATCAATAGTCCCACCAAACTTCTAGAGACACAGACTTCCTGAATGTATTAATTGGTAAGTGTTTTCATCCAGGGGAAGATAACACTTGGTTTCTTTATCCAAGTAGTAGATTGAGTCGGGAATTTTATGTATATCAAATCCTTCTTTTTGTAAGCCTACCTTTGTAAGTTTGTAAGTCCCTAGAAAGAAAAACAATTCGTTAGGTCGTTGATATTTGTCATTTCTGAACTTAAAGTAAATATACTGCCTTTTACGTTTCACAGAAAATCGTGGAAAAAAAATATTATCAGAGTCCTTTAGAAGTAAAAACAATACCGCATTTAGTATAGCAAGAAAGTTCAAAGGTAAATACAAAAATATTTTAAATGTACGCTCATCTTTCGGTTTTTTTTTTCAAAAGATGTAACTCTTTAAAATAATTTAATAAATACTTTAAACAAGTACTGTACGTTCTGTAAATCAGTTTTGCAGAAGCGTTTGATAAAAAATAATTATAATTTTAAAAACTTTTTTCTAATGTGCATGCGCAAGATATTTTTACTTCCAGTTTTAATTGTTTTGAATACATAAAAAAAATCATAATTTCTGTAGTTGTTTTTATTTACAGTTTTGTGATCCTACTAAATTAAAAAAGTTAGATTTTATTCTGCGCTAACTCACCAGTGGTTTCTAGTCTGTCTACAAGTCGTATAAACAATGGTACAGCGTAGCTTGGAAGTTGGCGATGAAGATCACTCGACAGTTCTTTCATGTTGATCTTTCTCTCTGGATCAGGTAGAGCTGCCATTCCGGCTCGGCCTTCAGTTCCTACAGTTAAACGTAAACTATCATGTTATAAATGTATTTACTAAATCTGATAAATAACCTAACTCACACAGTCCCAAAATCATAGTCGGAAACTCGAGGAAATAAAACAAGTCAATCTTTCTACTTAGGATGTGAAAATAGTTCAGGTTTATCTTACATCAGATTTTAAAAAAGTTCAGGTTTATCTTACATCAGATTTGAAAATAGCTTAGAGGTAACTTACACAAGATTTGAAAATAGATGTGTAAACAGTTTAGGGTTACCTCACACCAAATGTGAAAATAGCTTAGCGGTAACTTATACCAGATGTGAAAATAGTTCAGGTTTATCTTACATCAGATTTGAAAATAGCTTAGAGGTAGCTTACACAAGACTTGAAAATAGCTTAGGGGTAGCTTACACAAGATGTGTAAACAGTTCAGGGTTACCTTACACCAGATGTGAAAATAGCTCAGGGGTAGCTTGCATCAGACATGAAAATAGCTCAGAGATACCTTACACAAGCTGTCAAAACAGCTTAGAGTTACCTTACACCAGATGTGAAAATAGCTCAAGGGTAGCTTGCATCAGAAGTTAAAACAGCTCAGGGGTAACTTACACCAGTGTGAAAAAAAGATCAGGGGTAATTTACATCACATAAGGTGTGAAAACAGTTCAGAGGCACTTTCTCCAAATACGAAAACAGTTCAGGGATATCTTACAACACAATAGACGTGAAAACAGCTGAGATGTATACTTCACACCACAAAAGATATGTGTTATTATTCTTTTTTGTATCACTGTACCTGGTATTTGAATTCCGTACACCACACAGTCAGTTTGGCCTAAGATCTTACTGATAACTCCCTCAACTTCAGTTGTCGAAACGTTTTCTCCTTTCCACCTATAGGTGTCGCCTGTCCTATCCTTGAAGTATATGTAACCATCTTCGTCCATCACCACAATATCTCCTGGAAAAATGACATACCTTTCTAGGAATTAAGAGTTATTAGTTTCGAGATATATATTACAATACGCACTTCTGCCTTAAACGTAAATTAACATATTACTCCAGTAGCACTCCAGCACCAGAAACAGTTAACTGAGAAAACTGAATTTGACGTTTTTGTAGCCATGGTGAAGTCAATGAGTTACAATAAGTAGTTGCTTTCTGTTAGAAAGATGTTCAGTTGTGAACATGACCTAATGAAAGATGTTCACTTGTTAACATGACCTAATGAAAGATGTTCAGTTGTTAACATGACCTAGTGAAAGATGTTCACTTGTTAACATGACCTAATGAAAGATGTTCAGTTGTTAACATGACCTAGTGAAAGATGTTCACTTGTTAACATGACCTAATGAAAGATGTTCACTTGTTAACATGACCTAATGAAAGATGTTCAGTTGTTAACATGATCTAGTGAAATATGTTCACTTGTTAATAATGGACAGTCGGCAAACGATCTTTGTAGCGGAAAAACATTTTCAGTCTAAAGTTGGGTTTTATAAAAGAAACATTATCCATAAAAACTCTTCTCGCGTCCCTAAATAACACACACTTTTTACTGGATTTAAACCTATTTTAACTACTTCACTTCTGCCTCAGTTTTCATTTTTCAGTGATATATTTAAGTATATTCGATTTGTTTATTTCTAATGTATATATTTCTGTTGTAATTACAAATATGGTTTGTTTGTTTTGTAACCCTAAATTACTGATGATTGAATTATGACGATTCCGCAACGTCTAATAAATGCTTCCTGTTACTTCGTTTGTATTTTGTTTTATCATTGAGTTATGTTTTCCGAAAAATGAGTCGATTACTAGTATACTTCTACGACGATATTAACGTAGCATTTTGTAAGATGGTTTATGTGCAGTAACATGCATCGTTATGGGTACCCGCAAAAAAGAAATAACGGCTATCTTTACTCAGAGCAAAAAGAAAGTATTTTCAAAAGTGTGAAATAAATTATATCTTTCCATTAATTCTAAACACTGATAATACTTGTTCGGGCTCTTAGTTTCTTTACCTTTTCAAACCAACTAAAAGCTAATCTTAATTTTTCTAAGTTTGAGCAAAAGTAGTTTCAAAGTTAGGAGTACCTTCCAAGTTGAGATGTAAGACTTAAGACACTGTTATACTTTCTAGAATGTAAGTTCCAAATAGTGAAATTTGTTTACCAGTAAGATATCCAACATCCCCTTTCTTTAAAATGTCTTGGATTATTTTCTTCTTCGTTTCCGATTGGTCCACATAACCGTCAAACTGGCGAATGGGGTCCTTTGGATATAACCTGCCAATCACCTGTCCTGGTTCTCCTGCAATTAAGACAATGAACTGCGACTAAAACCCTTTATAATATGCCTATTAACGTTTGGTACTTTTTAACAGCAAGTGTTCGTAAAACAACAGTATAGCCACAACTTTCTTTACAAATACTATTCACAGCAAATTGCTGTGCTTGGTCTGAATTTATTAATATTTTCTCCATTGGATTCACGATGGAAATTATAAAATTCATTACAAGAGCCAATTTTCCTTTTTCATTTTTACCTCAACTAACTAGTATGTACAGGATGTTCCACTCCGTCAGTCAGAAACACTTTTTGTACATTTCCGTTTGTTCTAGATATTCACACGTAGCTACACAAACACTTTTGTACATTTCCGTTTGTTTTGGATATTCACACGTAGCTACAAAAACACTTTTGTACATTTCCGTTTGTTTGGATATTCACACATAGCTACAAACACTTTTGTACATTTCCGTTTGTTTTGGATATTCACACATAGCTACACAAGGGATATCCGAGCTATCCGTCCCTAATATTGAACTGATACTAGAGAGAGGGCAGCTGGTGAACAGCACCAACCCCAACTCTTGGGCTTCTATAATCGAATAGTGAGATTTAACTATAAGACTTACAACGCACAAACGACTTCAAAGTGCTCATTTGGAGCAGGAGTGTTTTGTGGCAGCGGGATGTGAATCACAGATTTTGGGATCCACAGTTTGCCGCGTTAACTACTAGGTCACACCCGACCTATATATTTCTGAAATAATACTTTTTGTGGGTTTGTAAGTGCAGTATACATCTTATGGTTAAGACAACCATTCACAAAGCCTTGAATTTCGAACTATGACGAGCTGATGGTTTCAGGAGGTTTTGACTAAACTCGGACAACTCAATACTTTAAAGAAGTCAGTTGATAATAAGATTCAGTTCGTATTTCTGAAAAACAACAACATTCATGTATTCCTTAAGGCTGGATCACCATAACAGTTTGGAACACGGCAGATTAAGTCTCTTAACAATATTTTACCATATATTCAGACATTAGTGATGAAAATAACATTAAATGCACACCATTCTTAACTAGCCCTCTATGGATAAGACATCATCTTCAGTTCTATCTAGGGCATTAATAATGCCACACATGAATACTTATCCCCACTCAGATACCTGTAAAATGGTGGGACGTTTCATCCTTCCCGTGGATATCAGTGTCCTCAGCGAGTAAACTGTATTGGCCTGACGTAACAGTAAGGAAAAAGGCCAGGGTTCATGAGAATTTAGAAACACTTACTGCTTAGCCCTGAATCTGCGGGTCGCGGGTTCGAATTCCCGTCACAACAAACATGCTCGCCCTTTCAGCCGTGGGGGCGTTATAATGTGACGGTCAATCCCACTATTCGTTGGTAAAAGAGTAGCTCAAGAGTTTGCGGCGGGTGATGATGACTAGCTGCCTTCTCTCTAGTCTTAC